CCGCCCAGGCACCAACCAGGCGGCAGCTCGTGGCAGTGAGGATCTTGTGTTGTGCTGCCTTGGGATCGTGGAACTCGCCAGGTGAGTCAATCCCCTCGCGATAGGCGCCAATGGCCTCATCGACGCCCGGATCGAGTCCAGCGAGCCTCGTACCACATGCCCTCGGCGAGTCACACGAGCCACCGCCTTGGTGCTGGCTCCAATTGCGCCCGCCAGTCTGCCTATCCGATTTGACAACTCAAATTCGGTCGTACTCACCAAAGGTCCTATCAAGGGTGCATTTTGGGGGCCGCGCGGGGCCCAGCGAGGCTCTGCCGAAATCGAGTCTCTTTTAAATTAAATCAATTGCCTGATTACCTACCTACTCTGGACGACCTTCACCAGACAGCGACAGCCATGCCCCACCCGATGCTGTGCTTTGCCCTGTCTCTGGGCTCTAGTGAGCGGCACAAGCAGGTCAGGATGCAAGATCAAATGACCCAGAGGACGCATTGTAGGGCTTCCCTTTACGTCATTCCCTCGTACTGGCCGATGTCCTCCTGGTTGATGAGTCCTCCCGAACGGTTCTTCGGTACGGTTCAGCCTCGCCGAATCTCACAAGGCTGTGATTTGGGGGCCTGTGCCCGACCCCCAGCGGGCTTCTTTGGACAAAAGTCACTTAAGGGGAGGCATTCCGGATCGGCTGTTTCCCAATTGCCAGGCACCGAGGAGCGTTCATGCATCCTCATGACGATATGCACCCTCATGACGGCTGAGTGGCTGCTCCCGAATGCTCCTTTGGCATGAATACGCACGCAAGCACGCAAGCACGCAAGGCAGATAAAAAGAGCTGCTCCCACTTTTTCCAGAAACAGATATCTCCGACGACCAGTAGAACTTTGTCTTAGTCCCAGTGAATGGGCAATGGCCGCGTTATTAATAGCAGGATATACACACCCATTCTCAGATATTACGAGAATGTCACAATATCCAAGACATGCACATATATGAGTAGGAGCTGGCACTTGGCCGAAGCAATCAACCGTCGCTCTTCTACTGACTGCATGCTTGTTCCTTTGAATGAGTGCATCATCTGCATCCATGATTTTTCGGCCTATGTCGCCCATTGCGGCAGTCGCCTAGCCCACAATTGCCCACCCAATTAGAGGATCCGGAGATGCACTTTCACCCACCTCCTCCCTTGTTGAGTCAAGCCTCAGCAGATGGGGTGCCCAGGCTCGAATACATGAGTACATGAGTAAACCTAAGACATTCTCTCAGTCACCATGACAGGGGCTGTGGTTGCATACTGCATCTACGTAACCGGCAGCGCGGTGGTGGTAGCACAGGCCAGGGAGATTGCATACAACGTAGCAATCTGAAGTCATCTACCTGAAGCCTGGCAGGACCCATTGGCTGGAGATCCCGGGCAAAACGTCCGTCTAGGTAGACTCCAGAGGTACATGTACTTTAAATTCTAACCGTCAAACGGCGCGACTTGATGTACTACCCAAAGATGTCTGCCAAAACTTCCAAGACCTCATCTCACCCAGCTCCACCGAAGATTTTCGGGTGAGTTTATTACCTGCTCAGCTGCTGCTCGCGGGTGGATATAACGCGCAGATGGCTGAGATGGAACCGTAAGGCGAGGTGGAGCCGACGCCCAGCCGGGCGAGAAGAAACAATCTCTTGACACCTGTGCGAAGTGGCCACATCCCTGAAGATCAGCTACCAGCAATAGGCGCTAGAAGTCGGACACGGACTCCGGGCGCGTGAACCCCGACCACGCGATGGCGATTGAGCTCAGTGAGCACGTTGTGCCAGCTCTATTTGATGTTTCCAGAGCTATTATAGGTGCATGTGGCAAGAGCTCGTCCGGGTTTTAGGTTGTCTGTATAACAGCCGCATGGGCCATATCGCGACAAGCTTCCGATCGGGGGGCGATAAACCATATGTATTTATATGTATGGGAGAGTTTGGGGGAGGGGAGGCGTTGTCAGTGCGCTGGGCATGGCTTCCGGGCGACCGCTGAAACAGCCGAGAAAATAGGGTAAGGCGTGTGAGAGGACTGGGCTGATGCGACCTACCTACGTATTGTAATACTCACTCCCAAGCGGCCCCGATCATGATCGGTTCCAGAAAGACTCTCCCTCGGATGGAGGTGTGCAGCGATTGGTCCTCGAAGAAGCGTGGCTTGGACTTGAAAACTTGAAAAAATGCTGCATCGTCGACACTTGATGCCGAGAGAGGCAGGGATATCCAACGAGAGCAAACCCTCCCCAGGCAGACGGGCGAATAGGACAGCCATGTTGGCCGGCCCAGGAATGTATACGCCCTCCCCTCCAAGACGTAGCCGTGTGTGCTCTCTCGTACGAGATTTGATGCGGGAGAGATTGTAGCACCGCGAACGGGACACGCCAGGGCTACCTAAGCGCCAGGGAGCGCCACTAGCGAGAGCAAGAGCGAGCCCACATCCGACGGCCCTGTAGGTACAACCGCTGGCCGATTATGTCACTCCGTGGCATTTTGCCCTTGTGGGAAAGACGACGCCCACGGGAGGCTTATTTTTAGCGACTCGACCAGTAGTCGCCCGGCCAAGTGCATGAACAAGACGCCTAAAAATAAGATTTGGCTAGAGGAGATCACGGCCGCGGTTCTTTGGTGGCAACACTCTGCAGCTGGCGGTGGTCTCTTTGGTATGCAAGCCTCTCTACACATTCTCTCTCTCTCTGCACGTTCCTGCAGGGCAGGGAAAATAGGGTGATGATGATGACGGGCGTGGAGGAGGGAGATGGGAGGGGATCAGCGAGTCATGCCAAGCTGGGGGAGGAGGGTCAGACGGGCAGCGCAGTGTACGGGGACACGGTGTTTCCGCTCCATCAATTTCATCTACATGATGCTCGGCAGGTCATCGCCTGCTGGATTGCCAGCATTCGGCCGCCAACGTGCAGCCTTGGCGCAGGGACGTGCTAGCCCAGCCCTGGTGACATAGCTCGGCAATGGAGCTGGGTCGGATATCTGACCAGCCCGGATGAGGAAATCTGTGTATGTCCAGTGCAATTCTTCTCCATCGAGTAACTTGCGACGCCAGCCCATGGGCCTGGTCGGTGCTGCTGTGGGCATGGATGTGGGCAGCTAAGGTAGCTGTTGGGTGGGAAAAGGCGGGCGGGTGGGCGGTCAGATGTGATAGGGATGACAGACAGATAATTAAGGCCCCAGGGCCCGCAGCTAGAAGCAGCCCTATTGCGGGCGATGGATGGGTAGATTGCACGGTCAATGGTCAATCCATCCAGCAATGGGGTGAGTGAGGAGAAGGGCTGTGAGGTGAGGCAACGCACATGCAGTGCAAGGTCAGGTCAGGTAACGCAAGGCGATGTCATGTACGTCTGTCTGCATTTAGTTGTAATAAGGCGGCCGAACAAGGAACCAGCACCCTTCCTCCAAGGTGACAATGCACCACGGGCGGACAATTAACCACGAGCAGCATGCTCACAGCCTGAAATGTAGGTATTTCTCTTCTGTAGGGCATGCCAAGCTGGTATGGGGTCGCGGCCGCTCGAGTCCAAGGTGCCGATGGCTCTGCCCTGCCTGCCTGTGCACCCTCCCTCCCCTACACGGATCCAGGGGTCAGCAGAAGCACACTTTGGGGGCCGTTTCTGATCAGAGCAAAGCCTCACAACCTTCAATGCCGCCGGGGCACAGCTGGCCAATCAGCGCCCCAGGCTACCCGAAACCCCCTGTGGCTTTCAACGCTAGACTGGTGCGCGGCGGGGGCATCAGCGGGGACTCGGCGGGGGGGCGCCAGGGCTGGTGGGCTCCACGACCCTCTTCCGTCCCGCGGACCAGCTAAAACCAGTTGGGATGGCAGCCGTAGCACCCAAGGTACCGTGCTGGGCTGGAGCCTCGTGGCCGTCCGCCAATCTGCTCGCCATACTCCCTCTCCAGGAGGGTGCGGCCTTGTACTGCCTCGTAGGCGGGCCTGTATCCGGAGCCGTCAGCGCAGCACTGCAGCCTGCCCACCGCGCCCTCGCAGTACATGGCCCTCTAACGCGGGCTACTTGGCCGACACGGCCAAAGAGTCGGGCATAAGTGCTGCAGGTTCACGTCGTGCGCTCAGCGTCTTCTACGGGTCTGGCCGACCAACCAGGTGCCGGGCCTTTTGTCTCTCTCTCTCTCTGTCTCCCAGTGCTGTTCTGCGAAACTGCAGTCAGAACATGCACTGTACATGTGCCAATTACGCGTCGATGACTGCGAATCTGGCCGCCCAGCAGCATGTGTCTATGTAATATGTCTCTTCCTCCAGCTGCACCTTTCTCTTTTTAAGTCGTTCACTCCCGGCGCCCGTCTGCTCCCCCCCCTCCCCTCCCCTCCCCTTCTCCCCTTCCACCTACATATCACACCCCACCCCCAAATAGTCCAGTCAACAGGCCATCTTGCCCGATCACATCCATAATAATCTGCTCCCCCAAAGAACCCTGCCCAAGTGAGTGTGCTTGGCCCGAGTCCTAGCGTCAGATTGTGGTCGGTCCTAGCTTCGGCCTGCAGAACCAGTCCGGCAGACCATCCTGAATGTCGAGCCCTTGCACCCTCGCAAACTCCACATTCTTCTACCAGACCAGACCTGTTATTACTATTCTCGTTACCACCTACTGCCGATTCCATTTTAAACCCAGACCGATCGCAGCAATTCGCCTCTTTCTCTCAAGGGGTGCCCAGAACAATTTGCCCCAATCTTGTCCCCATCAACGGCCAGTAGGACCCGAGTCTAAACAGGACCCCCGGTAGGGATCTTTCGCTGGCAAGGACACCATCACCGTTGCAGGCCCATAATCTTCCGTGCAGCTTCTTCATCCATCTGTCCTGGGTAGGCTGTGTGTTCCCTTGCAGCTCGCTAGCCCGTTTGATCTTCTCCAACATCGATCGCTCGACCATTTATATTGAAGACGGGCCCCCTTCAGACCAGTCGGCTTGTCCCTTTTCTGTCCTCTCGTGTTACTGACACACGCAACACTATTTCCACAATGGACCCAAACGAGCTGGCAGCCATGGCAACTCCTGCGAGCACATCGGACGCCGAGTCCACCTTCAAGCGCAAGCTGTCCGTCGAGTCCGACGAGATGGGCGCCATCCAGCAGAGGAAAACAAGAAAGAGAATCCCCAGCGAGCAATGGGAGGCCAAGCGCCCCATCATCACCAAACTATACCAGGTCGAAAAGCGGTCACTCAAGGAAGTAATGGAGATCCTGGAGCGCGATTATGGCTTCGAGGCAACGTGAGTAGCTCATTCTACCCCTCCACATTCACCACATCTGCAGCCCGTCTCCCGCCATCACCATCTTCGCTTTCCATCTCGCAAAGATGCCTTCATCATGCCACTCCCATCGCCTTCTTACACCGCCATGAATCGGCACAATCGTTTTTCGCCTGCCCTCTTTGCTGACATCCATCAATCAGTGTAAAAATGTACAAGTCCCGTATCTGGAAATGGGGCCTGGATAAGAAGCTCAAGAGCGATGAGGTCTTGGCCATCCTTCTCCTCAAGCACGAGCGGGATGCGCAGCGCAAGCCCTCGCAGTTCACCATCCGAGGTCAGGCTGTTGATCTCGATAACATTAACCGTTATGTGAAGCGCAACCCTCTCCTCCTCACACGTCTACGGGCGGGCCACCAGCCCAGTGTCCAGACCTCGAATGAGGTCAGCTGCTTCACACCTCCTCCAAGCCCCACCCGATCACTGCCACCGCCCGGCGAGTTCCATCGCATGGATGAGTTGATGCGGCTTTTCCGTGACTATGTCGACGGCTCACTTGCAAGTTTTGCCTGGAGCTGGCAGTATGACGTCTCATGTACCGGGCGCCTTCCTGGAGACCGCAGTGCCGACCTATTTGATCGCGTCATGGCCAGCTTCGCCCTGGTGAACCGATGCCTGAAGAAGGGAGACAACATTTCAGTCAACAGTTTGCTAAGCCCGGCATTCGAGTCCCTCAAGGAGATTGTGGCTGCCGAGAGCCCCATCTTCATTGTCAGAACCGTCTGTCTCCTTTGGTACCTGGAGCAGCACCACAAGAATGACCTGCTGAAACTGGTCCTGGACTACCTGGGCAAACTCATCCCCATCATGCTCGGGCAGTATCACATGCTTGCTCGGATCTGGCAGATTCTAGGGTCGACCCACTTTGCAGACTACAACGATCTATCCATGAGACTATACGCCTTGCTGGTTCCCATGATGGAGCACCGCATCGGCCCTGCCAATGAACTCACAACGATCCTCTACGGTGACCACATTGACTGTGTTTTCCAGCGGAAGCAATCTTCCGGCGAAGTTCTAGAGTTGGCAACCAGATACCGAGACAAGGTCGATTCTACTGGCCAACGCCACTACTGGCTCCTCGACCTTGTCATCACGCAGACGGCCGTGCTCTGTGCCAAGAAGGAGAGCGAGGGCGATATCGGTGGGGCCATGAACCATCTTCAGACTCTCAAATACTACCCTCTTAGCGACGAGCAGGAGGCCATGGTTGATATCCAGATGGGCAACTACAGCTTCCGTCTGGCGGACAACAAGAGCGCCATTGCCGCGTACCGACGAGCAGCCCGCCTGGCCATGAAGCCAGGCGGCGACGAGCGACTCCTGACCACGTGCCTGACCAACCTGGAAACAGCACTCGCCAAGGACGGCTGGAGCTACGATGCGGCCCGCGTGCGCGACCTGCGACTACGACGCATCGAGTGGTTCGCCGCCGACACCACCGAGTTCGCGGCCAAGCCAGCCCTCTACGACCAGGCCGCCGCGTCCTTCCCGGCCATGACCTCTTTCAGCGAGGGCCTGGGCCAGCCTGGAAACTCGCGGCCAGGCGATGACTCATGGGTCTGGCAGGAGACCTTGGGCTGCGGGGATGTGGCGAAGGACATCGTTGCCAGCAACCCCGTGGACCCCGGCGTGCGAGACCTGGGATATCCAGTCGTCTCTGCTCCCTGGACCGAAGGTCCCACCGCATGCCACCCGGCCATGGTGGTCCCCTCCAACACGGTGACAACTGTTCACTACCCGAGCCTGAGCCCCCCGGCGACGACTCCTTGGGTGACGAGCGTCTATCGATGATTATTTACGAAAAACATGAATTTAAAGGCAAAAAAGGTGTCCTGGTCTGGGACGGGAAATTTACGACGGGATTTTATATCTGGGAACATTATTTCGGGTTTGTATTTTAGACAATGGGAGCATTTCTTTCCCTTTTTCTTCTTCACCAGCTCATATGGTTGGATTTCATTCGGGATTTGTTTATTTTATTTTCTTCAAGGGGTTCTACAGGATTGCCACAGCGAATGGAACGCAGGTGAAGGGGCTGGCTTCACCTATGCCAAAGGGATCGGTGTTTTCTTCTTTCTTCTTCAGCTTTTTACTTTATTTTATCCGTTCTGGCCATAGGTTACTCTGGTTCCAAGAATAGGACATGATTCCCCCATGATAAGATATATATTATTACATGAAAGCCTACCACATTGGGTATTCCACACCATCAGCTTGCGATATTTTACGTGAAGACCTTTAGGACGAGTAGATCCAGCCCTGCTACCCCAAATTGGAACCTTTCCATCTGCAAGAATAGGGGTCGGTTATTATTAGCCAGGGGGGCAAAAACCTCATTGAGAACTTTAATTCAAACCACCCCCCCCCCCTCCCCTCGTCCTGTCAACCAAAGTCCTCTTTCCGCTCTCGGCAAGGGAGAGATGGAGTTTCACGGCAGCTCTGCCGGACCGCGGGCGTGCTAGTATCAAAACGCTCCCCCCAATACGGCAGTCGAGCTGGCATAGGGCTCGAAACGGGTCTTTGGCGGCCATGATACCTGTCCCTTCCTCTTCGCCGCTGCGAGAGGAAAACTCCCCGCAGGCCCGCAGGGCAGGATGCTATCTTTAACCCGCAGGAGCTTCGCCTCCCGGGCTCCTTATTTAGAGGAGGGGGAGGGAGGCTTAGACGAGGCTCCCCGAGAGGCGAAAACGGGCCACGAGGGGCGATCCTTGCATGCTCGTGGTCCGTGATGTCTGCCCTGTTTTGACGGGGTAGATTCCCGCTAGTGTGGTTGGGGCCTGGATATGCTGCCATTGCGTGCAGGGGAGGGCTATATCGTACTGGCATCCATCTTGGCTATCCAGTATGGGGTGGCGACAGTCTCATCCAGGCAAGAGGAGAAGGGGAGGAGGGGTAGGAGAGCCGGGAGGTGGGAGAGGTTTCGCCCAATTCATCATTCACCGATCCCTCGTATCCCATTCCCCATCTCCAGTGAACACATAGTCAGGGGGGAGGAGGCCGTGAGGTGTTTAGCGAGAGGGAGCGAGATAGCGATAAAAGAGCGCAGGGCAGGGGGACGATTATGCCATCCAAATGTTTAAAAAAAGAGACGCGCGCCTGTCTGGACGTTGCATGGCAGAGTCTCACCCGCTTCCGCGTGGGAAGCCTCCAGTGGCGCGCGTGTTCACAGCGCTTCTATTTTGGGCTGCGTCAAAACAGCGCACACTTCTGCAGGGGTCTGACATCTGGTGGGTGGTGGTGGAGGAGCGGTACGCGCTCACCACATGAGCTTCGGCGAACTTGCTGTGCAAATACCGGGCAACTTGAGCGATTGCGGGGCCCGTAACGGGGTTTCAATATATTTCTTGTTTTCTTGTTTTCATTTGATTTCTTCACCCCTTGGCGGGGTGCGAGGCTGTGCTGCCTGCCCCCCCGCAACGCCTGCCCAAGAGAGAGATTGGGAACAACGGCCGTCTTGTCTATATTAACGCCGGCTCCTGGCCCAGCCAAGCCCCGAAGACGAGCGTGGCCCGTCCCCCTAGCGCCGCGGAATTGCAGACCTGTCAGGGAAATCTCCGACCCGATCTGGCGATTGGGTATCCGCTGCGCCGGGGGAGGGGCTGCGATGTGTCGTATGCCGTATATCGCTCGCCGACGCAGTTTCGCATGTCGGATGTTTACAACCACGCATGTATATGTTTCAATGGATCTACTAGGTGCATAGATTGCGTATACGCATTCATATCGCCGTTTCCCTTCTGGCCCCCCAGGCAAAGAGACAGCTGCGGATAGGCCCCTCCTGCAAGGCCTCCCGTGAATGATGCCACTCCAGGCCAATGGGACCAAACACCACTGCACTCAGCTTGCCTGCAGCGAGAGTTTAACTTTCGAAAGGCTAAATCCCCGGGCTTCCCTGTGCTAGCCCGCCCTGCGAGGTTTTCCCAGAAAACAGCCTCCCACTTCCCGCCATGTTGAGTTGGAGAAATAGGGCTGACGTGTGTGGAGAAGGGACGCGTGGAACCAGCGAGGCGAGCCGCTGCACGATGCCAGGGGCCGGACGGCAAGCTTTTGTCGGCCTTGCAGATGGAGAGAAGGGGTTTGATGCATCTGCCCGCATCTGCGAACCTGACGATGATCGGTCGACGTGTTCGAGCCTGCATGAACGTGAAGAGCTGGCCACGACTTCTGTGGCTTTGCTCTGGACTGCGCGTATGTACGATGCGCAACTAGCGCTTCGAGTGTTCACAACGGTCAAAGTGACGGTCATTGATTTTGTCTATTCCGCCTATTCCGCCGCACTCCCGAGTTGGGAGATGGGTCAGTCGGGCTTGTCGTCATCGGCATGCCGTGTCCTTCTCCGGCTTCATCGGCCTCCGTCATGGAAACGGTCACGAGGGGATATAGACCTTGCTAGCTTGGGAATTCCGGCTCTTCCGAGTATTGTTCGGCCGGGGTCCGAGGGTTGGCCACGGGATTCAGTATCAGTCCGCTCCGTTGTACGTGTGTCGTATTCTGCTGGAATGTGAGATGATTGCCAGAGGTGTTAGAGCCCGGCCAACTCAACGGCCGAAACCTTTCAGTGATCTGGATAGGAGTAGATTCAGATGCAGGCAGGGTATCTCCGTAGAGAGTCTCGAGATCGTAGCTTTCGTCTTGCTAGACTGTGCTGGTGAACCATGCCCTCGAATACGACGTACCCTAGACCAGCCGGGAAGAAACACGAAATCTGCAACGGCGAGCGGAACGAGCCATTGGATGAGAGACGTGAACCTAGAACCTAGACGTATCTCAAACTCTCAAACAACATGTCACGAGGCCAAGTAGCTTTTCTGACGAGCCAATGACGTACACATCAAATGATAAGCGCACCAGAATTACACAACCCAAGGCAGTAATGCGCAATACGCAAAACCAAAACCTTAGCAACGGCAGGATTTCCTCAAGTCGAAGCTGGTAGTCAGCTCTTACATTCCATCATAATGGAATACTTGCACTTATTTAGCGTCTGTCAGCTAAGCACCATTTTTATCGAGCACAATTGGTGTTGTGAATCCGCGCCCGTCACCGTTCCACGGGTACTCGTATGGTTGCACTCGCAGTCCTGTCCTCGATGTTGTGCTACGCCGTGCAGCTGGCTCGGCGATCGCAGCGAAAGGGACGATAGGCCATGTGTCTGCCAAGCGCGTGCCTCAAATTGGTCGTCGACTGCTTCGAATTCCCATCCTGTGCTACAACGTTGTATTTCCTTGCATACGGGATTGGATCACACCACTGGGGCACCCCCTGGCCACGACTCACTGGTAAGGCATTTCGAACTCGACAAGCTTACCATGTGCTGTTCGTCAGCTCGCTTAGCAAGATCAATGGTAAGATTTTCAAAACCTCGTTTCCGTTCCCCGGGGAATGGTGAAGAATGAGGAGAGTAATGCGCAGGGTGGCCTGATTCCCCGACTGGCGCACATGACCAGTTGAAGGAATCCAATATGATGCGCCGCGGCCTTGATATCTGCCAAGGGGGTGGTGTGTGCTGGATCCAGTGTCGGGTAGGGACAATGTTGGGGGCCGTCAGGGATCACAGAGACTCTGGCCAAGTCTGGCAGAAGCCGGTCGAACAGGAGGACAATGCCTAGCGCAATGCGAAAAACTGTCGTGGTTATGGGAGCGTCCTGCGCGAATGGCATTTTACGTGGTATTGCGAGAGAGGCTCGTTGTGGTTTTGGAGATGTGCATCCAAGGCGCATGGTTGTAAGTCGCAGTGACATGCATCCCTGAGGGCTATTTCCCCGGATTTCGCTTGGGAAAATAACCGTAAACCCCCGAGATAAAACACAGGTCATCGGGCCCGACGCTTTTTAACGCCCAAATAGCTGAGATATGACTGCTGCTGCATGAGGGCTATCACTTGCCCGATAGGCAACCGGTGCCGCGCTGGTCGGAGAGAACTGAGATCACTGCTGCATTCGGTGTGTTTGAAACACGGTCTGCGGATACCGACGAGTCCGCGGCCAATGTCACCGGATAGCTAAACTCAAAGAAAGTGTGGTGGAGCTGGGAGGAACGTTTGGTGCCTTTTCTCCCTTCTAGCCTTGCCGGTTCCCCCCCAGGCTAAGAGATTTCACGGAATACGTGGCCGGGGGAAGCTATCGGCTGCTATTCAGAAACTAGGTAGGTGGCTCCTGGAGCCCATTGAGTCAAGTCCAGGTCATCTGACCACGGCCAGGCCCCGGACTAGTAATAGTAATACCGCTGGCGAGCACCATGACGAGTCAAATAAGACCACTAATTGACCAGTGCCGATGTGCGGAGCGCGACGAGGAGCTGTGGAGGGCTGTGGATGTGTGTCTCTCCTGGTGGTGACTTGTTGCACTTGGTGTTCTTAGTCGAGGCACGGATGGACTTCCTTCGGGCATTGGCTCGTCTTCGCTCTAGCCCACATGCACTGCCTGGGCTGGCTATTGGTCAGACTCGCACAGCGTGTCATGCCGTGGCTCATCCTGCGTCTGACGTCGTGCACATCTCATGGCGTGCATTGGTACGGCCCAGCTCAAGGCCATTCCAAAGGCGGGTGGTGCTCGCATTGGTTGTGGTGCAGATGCAGCCCCCTCTGCTCGCCCTCTCGCCTTCTGCACATCCGTGGGCAGGCAGGCAGAGGCATAGCCGCCAGGCAAGATAAGGGTGGGCTTCCGGCCCTCCACCCCATCAATAGCTTAGCTGGGTACACTGGTCGCTACTGTGCTGAGGCAATGGATAAGGTATCTCGACGGGACTTCCAGATGTGGGTAAATTGGAGCCCCTTGGCTCTGTCAGTGCAAGTCGACTTTGATTAGCAGCAATCTCCTCGGGGGTGATATAAGCCTATTATCAGCAGATGGCAATTAGAGAGGCGGCTAGCGCAGCACTGGAGCCCCAGGCCGGTTCTTGTACCACAGCGACGAGGAATGATTCACCCGTGGCAAGGTTGCGCAAGCATCTACGACGGCTCTGTGGCGGGCTGCAGGCTGGGCACATGTACTATACTCACGGCAGACGCAGCACCTGTCATGGAAGAGGGGAGGGCATCTTCCCGTCTTACATAGTAGCACCAGCAGGACGCCTATCCCTCCCCGAGGATGGTAAAGTGCAGGTGCCTCAGCGTGGATACCCTAGGCCTAATTTGCCAGTGCTACTGCTACATGCGGCGTGCCGGGACCCAGGCAGGTACCTCATCTCTGGCAGCCGCTCACAGCACTGGCTCTCGCTGCCAGCGTGCTGAGGAATGGGCGCGAGCCCAGAAGTCAGGGCCTCAACGGCGACTCCCGGCTGGCATTCTATAGAAACCGCCAGGACCCAGCCTGTCTCGGATTTGAAATGGAAATGCCCATTCTGCTGCCCGGCGGCAGGACATGGAAGGCTCCCAGGTACCACCCCGATGGTGGTAGCGCGCTGTGACTCGATCGCAGTGGAGGGATGTCAAGTGGGCTTGGACGCAACGTAATGTTCGGCCATCTTCCCCCCACATCAGCCTTAATTGTCGACTCGATAACTCCTCCCCCAAGCCCTCGTATAATTTACTGCGTCCGCCGTCAATTTCTTCTCTCCCGCCCCCCCAAAGAACCGATCCAGTCTGTCTGGCTAGCTGCGCCAGCCAGCCCGTCCGAACTACCTGCATCTGGCCACTGTCTGCCCGTGTCTGTGCGACAGCAGCATCCGTACGCCCCGCCAGCTGGTCCCGTACAGGCACCACCAACCGGGTTCTGGAACTGGCTGATTGATTGATCCAGGGTGCGAGTCCAGGGCTCCCTCCAGGTTCCCCCTTCCAGCCGTGTGCTGCGTGCGACGTTCCAGACGCCAGCCAGTGTAGCACCGCATTGAGAGGAGGCTGCCCGCCCTTGCTCCAGCCCCGGTTTTTTTCTCTCGTTTGGAGCCGTTGCCCTTTCATTCGGTCCCTCGACGTCGTCTCGCATAATCTGTTTCGACTGACAGCTATCACCAAACTCCCAACAAGCGCTTCCACGCCCGCGCTGGGGGCTTCATCCCACCACTAGACACGCCTCATGATACACTTATAGCGCTACAGCCAACCGAATACACTTCGACCTCCTCGTTGCCACTGTGGCAAAATACATCGTCGACGGCACTTGCTTTGTGGTGTTTCGGCAAATCCACCTTTCTACGACAAGCAGGCCTCAATCACCCTGCTCTTCTTCCGCCACTGCTCTTTATTTCGACACATTCTTGCACGACCTCGCTCCATCTCTGCTCTGGCTGGTGTGTGGCAGACAGCAGCCTGAGCAGCCACGAGTAGCCGAGCTTTGTGGCTCCATCAAGGATGAGCCTTCCTGTGACTCCTCGATCGACGCCGGCAGCGCCCCCAACAGACCACGACAATGGCAAGCCTCAATGCCACGCGGTAACGCAAGACGTGCCCAGCACGTCGACCTCGAATTCTGCAGCGCCCTATGCAGTCCTCGACCGCAGCTCCTCCCACCGACCGCATCCTCTCCAGTTCAAGTCGACCACGATTGCGCCTTCACCACCATTCTCAACCCAAAACACATTGGATGACACTCTTCCCCTAGATGTCAGCTCGCCTGGCAGCGATCGCAGTGCAGATAGCTCGTCCTCGTCTCTTCGAATTTCCACGGAAATCTCTCCGCATCATTTCATCTCTCTTCATCGCCAGGGTTCGTTGACCAGTGGATCTGCCAGTTCTTCTACCAGATCAATCGCGATCAAAAAGAAGTCATCCTTCGGCAACTTCCAGTCAATTTCAAGAACCCCAAGCTTGAAGGCTGCATTCTCAGGCAGTTTGGGTGGTCCTGGTAGCGCGGCGAGCAGTCTCATTCCCAGCCCGATCATTTCGGCAATGGGAGACATGTCGCCGCTACCCAGCCCTCTCCTTCCAGCAGATTCTCCAGGACCCTGGAGAAGATTACTGGGAGGGACTTCACCCACTCCTCGAAGTAGACTGAACAGCCTTGGCGAGGACGGCATCATCTCCAGCAGTCCTTGCGAAGTCGAGGCGATGCAGAGTACGGCACAGGCAGACCTGCTCTCTCCAGTAGCTCTCCCCAAGCCTGCCAACCTGGCTCCCCAGGAACACAAGCGACAGCATACAAGGAATAGGAGCAATAGCGAGTATATTCCCGAAGGGATCTCATTTCCAAAGCGGCTCATGTCTGTCACTGGGCCTCATGGCAAGCTTAATACGGCCGACTCTCACGACGCTCACATCCGAAGGGAACTCAACTACGCTGAGCAGCGAGGACTCACCCCAACGGTTAGGCAGCCTCCTACACCTCCGCCAAGCGAGTCATCCAAGGATTCCACTGAGTTGAGCAGACCCAAGGATCTTGGAGAGCTCTTTGAGGCCCGCGGACGCCATGACAAGAAGCGCCGCCGATGGAGGGCTCTCCGCTGCCTTGGCCAGGGAACTTTCAGCCGAGTTATGCTGGCTACAAGTCAAATTGTTCCTCAGGATAATGAGTCCGACAGCTCAAACTCCGAGAGCCAGCCGAATCGAAAGACCCTGGTTGCCGTGAAAGTGTGCGAGCATGGCCCTCGCGGCGGTGCCAGTGAGGAGCGGGTTGAGATGAGCCTGAAAAGAGAACTGGAGATCTTGCAGGCCATTCACCATCCCTCAATTGTGGACCTCAAGGCATTCAGCATCGAGCCAACCAGAGCTATTCTGGTTCTCTGCTACTCCCCTGGTGGCGATCTCTTTGACGTTGCCACTACCCACCGCTCAGTGCTTTCCCCGGCATTGATGCGGAGGATCTTTGCGGAACTGGTTGGTGCTCTCCAATACCTCCATAACATGAAGATTGTCCACCGTGACGTCAAGCTTGAAAGTGAGTTGATATCCCCGAGTGAATCTGGAAGGTTCATCTCAGTTAACCCTCGTCACAGATGTTCTTGTCAACCTGTCAGCTCACGAGCTCGGCGACAAGTCCATTGATTGGCAGACCTACCCTAACTCCGTCATTACCTTGACGGATCTGGGTCTTGCCCGTCGTATAAACGACGACGAAAAGCTGGAGACTCGCTGCGGCTCCGATGATTACGCTGCCCCTGAAGTCATCATGGGCCAGCCGTATGATGGACGCGCCACTGACGCATGGTCTCTTGGCGTTTTGCTCTATGCCCTGCTGGAGTCTCGTCTACCTTTCGATCCGCACCCAGGTATGACTGATGCTCATCGGATGCGCAGTCGAACCACTCACCGCATTGCGCGTGTTGAGTGGCGGTGGGTAGAGTATGCGGGCGACGACACCGACAATGATGGTGACGAGGCCAAGTTTGAGGCCAAGGGCCTCCTTGGAGCTTGTGAAATCACAGAGGGCTTGCTCAAGAGGGCTCGAAGCCGTTGGAGCTTGGAGAAGGTGGCATCGAAGCCATGGGTCAAGGATGCGATTCGCGTTGAAGGAGGGGTCAAGTTTTGGGAAGAGGAGGAAGGGGAAGAGATTTTATAAAGGGCACGGCATCTGGGAAAGACGCAAGACACCCCGATGAAATACACACGAAATAACTCAATATCTTCTGCTAAGTTGATATTGCACTTCTGGGCGCCAAATCTTTCTTTTGTCGGATATATTTGGGCGATGAAACGGCAAGAGTCACTGGGAAGACGCATATGAGAATAACGACCAAACAACCAACCTTTCTCTTCTTACTTTTGTATTCTTTTTTTCACCACATCACTTTCACCAGACTTCTCTCTTGTTTGTTCCTTTTCTTTTATTACAGTTGATTATATAATTATTAACGATATCGACGACGAAATGCTTTTTACCGTCGTTGATGGTGTTTAGGGGGGCTTAGAAATAAATAAAGACAGCGCTGGAACTTGTCATACCAATATAGCATTTAAAATTAGAATTATCGAAGACGTCTTCGTGGGCTTTATCATGCCAAAAAATTACATTCAGTTCTCATTTCCTCTCGAGCTTGTATACCTATGTTCTAACGTTCTGTATGAACGATTTGGTCATAGGAGAGGTTGTGCTGCGCGAGCCTCACGTTGCTACATTTTACATGGCCCGAGGCGAGGTTGCGACCTGAATACAGTTCTCCAGGTTCTGAACGGTCCTCGTCCCACGGCGATCTCGATGACGCACAGGAAAACCTGGCTGGCCCATCCCCCGCGGCTGAGGGTGCCAATATTTACGAGCAGGTCTTATTGGTCTCCTCCTCCCAGGGGGGGCTTGGAGGCCTATTGTTCTCGAAGACTCTCTTCGAGCGGGAGAAGGCCAGGGCAGGCAGGCCTCCATCTTCTCGGGTGTGCATACGATACAAGGCATAAGAGCGATACGGGCATGCAGGCAGAGTCACATCGTTTCTGTTTCTCCGCAGCTGGGCTACGTGTGAGACAGCTCGCCAATATTAGGAGCTTGGGGGGGCTGAAGTGTGCATACAGAGGGGGGATAGAGTACATTGAGGGCGAAGAATAGGCAGGTCGGTGGGGGGCCTGGGCATCGGATCGAAGGTTTGGTGGTCCTTCCATGCGTGGACCCAATTTCTCGGGGAGGGGAGGGAAGCTGAGGCGACGTTGTAACGTGGGAGCCGGGACAAGGGGTTTGGTAATTTGCACTTGCCGATGGGTGTTATCGGGTCCTTGATATCACGGAGGGGGCTTTTACTTAGATAATGTGCGCAGACGGTGAAGAGATAGCGGATGAAAGCGTTTAAAAAGAAAACTATCCGAATAGGGAAGCCCGCCGAGGCAAGAGGAGCAGCTAGAGAGGTGGAGTGGTGAGAGGAGAGGGGAGGAGAGGAGAGGAGAGGAGAGGCGAAGGTGAAAACAAGATTGTGAGCCAAGGGACAGCGCTAGAGCAGGCGGTGGGAGGAGATGAGACAGGTCATCCGGGGGTTGCCCTTGGGGGATAACTTGGGAGGACTAGAAGATAGCCTCTGGAGGAACATGCAGAGCACAGACCAGAGGGCGAGCTGGCCCCCCTCCCATCTGGTCTCTGTTGTGGTTTATTCTAGGCCATCATTTCCGTTTTTAAACCCTTTCGCAAGATAAGAGACATGTGGCATGCTTGCGAGGATTGATGCCAAGAAAGGAAGGAATCGAAGATAGAGCTCTCGCGTTGCTAGATCTAGATACCGGCATGGGTACGGCTGTGTACTTCTAGAACAGCATGACAGGTGAAGCGCGTATGGTGGTAACGGTAAATAACCAAGGCAGATAGGGTGTCTTCAGGACGGCTGGACAGAGACCTCGCGTGGAAGATAATTGGAGTTGTCGCGGATCATGTCTAAGGAGATTTCATCTAGAGGGCGGGTTTCCCGCTGCTTAATTGACCAAGACCGCCCGGCCGCAGCAGCTTATTCTGCGAGGAATGGAGCGCATTGACGGTAATAGGCTTTGCAATCGCATGCATTGACCGGTGTAGGCTCCCTACTGGTCATTTAGCAGTCAGCCAAGACCCGTCGTCATCGAGCAGAACGTTGCGGCGGCGGCACTAAAGAGTTGTCTAGCCGCGATGGAGTTACGGAGTGTGTTTTGCACGTTCTCGGTGATGCCCGAAACATGTTTTGGCCCTAACCATTTTGTCAGCCCCACGGCGCAGGCGTAACTATCTTGGGTATAAGGCGCAGAGCAGGACCGACACATTCAACTAACGCAGGAATGCGCATGGCGAGCCAGCCGCTGACGTCCGTGGCTGGCCATCCTTCTGGTTCTCGTATGTGTGTATGAAGGTTAGTAGTTTGCTTTGTGTTACAACGCTTTCGCGGCTGGGTGGAACCCCCGTTCCGCCCGCGCAGTTGCTGTGCTTCTGAGTTGGAACACGCATTCCGCGCTTATGGGTAGCCGGTGTGATATCGATCCTCCTCGACATATGCTGACACTCGGCTGCTGGCTTACATGCTGCGGCTGGGCATGTGATTGGGGGATGCCAGTCCGGGATCGTCCCAGCTGTGCCTAGCCAGGCCCATGATCTGCATGGCTGCGGTCGTTGGAGAGTATGTTCCACCAGGACTATCAGCCAACTCGCGGCAGTCGGCGCTGCTAGGAAAGGAGCGAGGTCCTTAATGAGTGGTGCCGTCGCAGGATAGTACGCCAGGCGGGAGGCATCCAACACGGCGATTGGCCTCGCATCAAATGGGCTCTCCTGGATTTGATATTAAGTGCTGACCTTCCAGGCCTCCCATTGGATGCAGGGTGACAGGCGCGGGGAGGGTGTCCGAGATGGCGCCAGCAAATAGATGGGCGAGAATTGTTCTGGAACATGTACCGCTCCTCCGAGCTGGACACCCCTCGACACCTCCAGCGGCTGATGGGGGGTAGTCGTGCATCCATCTCGACACCATCTAGGTAGGTACAATCACCTGGCGCGCAGTATCTACATCTAGGTACGCTAGCACTGTTGTTCAGCATTAGCGAGTTGCCCAGAGAGGGAGCTGCAGAAGCTGGAGAGGCTGCTAATGCAGCATGGGAGGACGCAGTTCGTCATCGTCGACGCGGGGCCCTCTCTCTTGCCCGGCGATATGGATATGACATGATCTGGCTGGACTGGGCTTCTCGCGATGGGAGTCACAGTACCTCTGCCAGCCAGGCAGGTACTTCGGCGCTGATGGGTGGCTGGCTGGCTGTCCGTCCTGTATCTCGGTGGGGGTGCGTGAGATGGGATGCAGACGGGCGCAGTGTCTAATATTCCTTCGTAACGAGTGTGATTGTTCCCGCTGTTGGCTGAAACCGCCACGGGGGTATGATCAACCCACGATAGAGTCGGTGCATTATGCGCTGTGGCACAGGCCCTCAGCGCCCCCGCTCAGCTGTGCCCTCGGCCCTGCCATGAGCTGTGCTCTCTGCCATCACTTGACTATTACCCAGAGTGCGGTAACTAACATTGGTGGGGACGCACCTTCTGCTTCAGGCACCTGGTCGTCTGCATCCGATATCGTGGGCAGGACCCTTGTTGCCCGCTATCAGAGCCCATCGCCTTGCCCACTGCACGCAAGGGCCTAGCTGAGTAGCCTCTCCGTCTCCCGCTTGCTTCTTCTTCGCCTGGTCAGGTCATGACATCTACATTGAGGCGGCCACTGGCGGATCTGCATGCGGTGCAGCTACCCACTTGCTTCAGAATGCTGGGCTTACATAGTACCTTATATTCTGGAGGTGCACGACATACTTCATATTAACGGTGCGGATCATAGCAGACGCATCATAGTAGAGGCAAGGTACCGCGATACCAGCAAATCATCAACCGATATGGACGAGGGGAGTGTGGGTTCATGTACCGGGTACTTGATCACCTTGGTTTGGCGCAACGTAACGGGTGCTGATAAGGCATGCGCTACCTGGAACTCAGTTGGCCCGCGGAATCGAATCCGAGTGTGTCTTGAAATCGAGACAGGTACCTGCGACCAGAGCGTCTTTGGCACATGGCCTGGTGCAAGGGCTCTCCCCAGGGTCCAGACCAGGTACTCGCTACCTCGTCGCTGCTGGCCTTGGGCATGCAGCAGACACACTGGCGACCAACGCCCATCAGCAGACCTGACTGCTGCATTCCCAAGACTGCAATTTGAATTTCCACTACCAGCATTTGGCCATCGTGATATGACACTTTCCGACCATTCTCAGACTCCCTCTTCATCACCATGGACGCCGTGACATCACCCAGAATGTGCAGCCAGCCCCAAACATACCGAGCCCCCCTGATCACGCCGTGCATCTCACTTCGGCGCTGGCGCACGGTGCTACGAGAAGCACAAGGCTCAATCCATCGTGGGCTCATCCATCCATCGTGGAAATCCTAGAGCTGAGCGACCTCGCGACAGCAGCATCGCGACGGGCGACGTACATGGGACGTGCTTGCTCTCTGCCCACCCAACGCCTGCGCTTTGGTTCAAGGACCATGTCCCTGCCTTATCTATGCACCAGGGAGCGACCGACCGCAATCACTTGTTTGCTTCCAGTCCCCAACTCAACGGTTCGAATCGACTGGCGCTAGCCACCCTGTCCCTGAATGTCCGGGTCCCAAAGTGGACCTGGGTGCCGAGGAACTTTTGCTGGCGCGCCATCTTGGGACATGGCCTTCTTCTTGGCAATGGGAAAGACGCTGTCAAAGCAGCCAATTGCTCCGTTGGCCCTACCAATTCGCAGTCGCGCTGCCGTTAATCTCACATGGGCCCCAAATCTTCCTAATCGTAGCAGCAGCTTTCCCCTGCCCCCGTTCCCTTTCTCCAATTCGTCTCTGCTGCTGTGGGGTTTATGCGCAAGGTCCTCAGTTCCCATCACCCAAGTCTGGGGAACGATGACGGAATTCGGAGGTCGCGATGGGCGTCCGCGACCTCAGCTCGCCGTCTTGGGGGGACGGCGAGGGGCCACTCACACACGCTGAAGCAACCCGCCCCCAAAACCTGTAGGTGGCAGTAGGGCGTCCAGTAGGGCGAGGCAGGGCAATGAACGGAGGCAATGCCTGCTGTGCTAGCGCCCAATGAGGCGTTCCATCACACTACCTAT